CACTCTGGAGAGATGAGAAAAAATACTTAAATATGACGCTATTATCAACTGTACGGCTTATTTATCTATCACAATTCATCTAATATGACACAATAAACAATATAATTAGCACAGAAACATTATATATTCTCTAGAATTAATAAAATAGCATTAGATCACGGGTTTTTCTAATGAAAACACTGAAACAGTGTATTTATAAATAAGAAATATCGTATAAAAACTGTTTATATAAAGTGTGGGTGGGGGATGTTGATGGAAATCATAGTCCTTTTCTTCTCAGCACTGTCCTTTCCACCTATTTTTTTAGGACCCATGGTTAGAAAAAAGGAATTTGGCCAAATGACTGTAAAAAAATGCAAACAAGCACGAGAGAACTGCTCCCACAGCGATGTAAACATGTTTACTGTTTACCAGCTATGCCAACTAGCAGAAGCAATCTGAATTATTATTACGTACATATGCATTATTATTATTATTATTATTATTATTATTATTAATTTAGGGAACTGAAGCTCTATCATTAATAATAATATAACAATAATAATAATAATAATAATAATAATAATAATAATAATAATAACCCTTTCAGGGTTTCCGACGTACTAGCACGGCTTACACACCAGGGTTATTGACGTACTAGTACGCCTAAATTCTAGCGCCTTTAAATCTAGCGAGAGAAAGCTGGTAGGCCTACATATGAAGAATGGGTCTATGTGGTCAGTGTGCACAGTATAAAAAAAAAACCTGCAGCACACAGTGCGTAATGAGAAAAAATAAACAATAAACAATATAATTAGCACAGAAACATTATATATTCTCTAGAATTAATAAAATAGCATTAGATCACGGGTTTTTCTAATGAAAACACTGAAACAGTGTATTTATAAATAAGAAATATCGTATAAAAACTGTTTATATAAAGTGTGGGTGGGGGATGTTGATGGAAATCATAGTCCTTTTCTTCTCAGCACTGTCCTTTCCACCTATTTTTTTAGGACCCATGGTTAGAAAAAAGGAATTTGGCCAAATGACTAAAAAAATGCAAACAAGCACGAGAGAACTGCTCCCACAGCGATGTAAACATGTTTACTGTTTACCAGCTATGCCAACTAGCAGAAGCAATCTGAATTATTATTACGTACATATGCATTATTATTTTTTATTATTATTATTATATTAAATTTAGGGAACTGAAGCTCTATCATTAATAATAATATAACAATAATAATAATAATAATAATAATAATAATAATAATAATCCTTTCAGGGTTTCCGACGTACTAGCACGGCTTACACACCAGGGTTATTGACGTACTAGTACGCCTAAATTCTAGCGCCTTTAAATCTAGCGAGAAAAAAGCTGGTAGGCCTACATATGAAGAATGGGTCTATGTGGTCAGTGTGCACAGTATAAAAAAAAAACCTGCAGCACACAGTGCGTAATGAGAAAAAAAAAAAAACTTGGACCGTGTTTTCGGTTTAAAACAGCAATTTTGCACTGTATTTTTGTATAGTATTTATGGTTGTATTCTAGTTTTCCCTGGTCTCATTTTATAGAATGGGAGGCTTATTACACAAATTGAGATGATTTTGATTGGTTTCATAATGAAAAGTACCTTTGAAATTGAGCTCAAAGTAGCAGAAATGTTAAATTTTTGCCAAAGTTCAAAAGTAAACAAATCGTGCCACGCGTCCAATACACATCAACTGGTGAGTCTAATATTCTTTCACAAGTGTGCTGATATTATTTGTACCATTTCTACACTAATGCAGTAGTCTGCATAACAGTAAATCTTCTATTTTTTGTGAGAATAAAAATTCAAAGTGGAAAGCAAAAGAAATGTAAGAGAGCCGGGACGTGACTAATGAACAGAGGAAATGTTATTTTTAGTGCCAGGAATGTCTGTCTGTTTATTCTGGACCCTGTTTTTGGAAATTGGCATCTTTTGAAATTTGTATGAAATTGGCAAAATTGCCCATTTCTGATCACTTTATGGATAGTTGAAATAGGTAACTGGGTGGTTTCTTATATCATTCGCTAAAAAAAAAATGGAGTTCTAGCGAAATAGTTATGATTTTTGTCGACTAGTGCAGTGGAATTGGCCGAAAATAGGGCTCAAAATGGGTGAAATCGCCGATGCGTAAAAATCGTCGAGACCGCTAACTTCGCGAGAGCATAATTCCGTATGTTTTCCATCAAATTTCATACTTTTGGCGTCATTATGATCGGGAAAAAAAGATTCTCTATCCTTTCATGAGAGAATTTTTTGTTTTTTTCTAAAATATTTTCGACCATGTGAACAAGTTTAGGAGAGGGCCTCTCGACCCTGAAGGGGTTAATAGTATTATTATTATTATTATTATTATTATTATTATTATTATTATTGTTATTGTTATTGTTATTATTAATTTAAGGAACTGAAGCCCCTATTATTATTATTATTATTATTATTATTATTATTATTATTTTTGTTAATTTAGGAAACTGAAACTTTATTGTTATTATAATAATACAGTAGACCACCATTGAAGAAGTGCTGCACAATTTTATGTAACATTGTATAATTAATTTAACATGGTTCTTATTGTGGAAAGGAAAAAAAAATTCTTTTGCTCAAGTTGCCGCCTTGCTGTGGAGCAGCCGGGGAGCCCTTCCGCCATCCCCTACCACTCCCCGACACCACCCCACCATCCCAGCATTCGTAATTCATACTTGTCCAGTCCAGTCTTTCTCTGCTACAAGGCAGCTGTGTTTGTGAAATGTGTTATGATCTTTTAATTACTGTATCTTGTATCTGCCAAGCACTCATGACACCCAGTAGCCATACCAGTGTTGCTGAAAGTGGCATGAAGTGGTATAAGCACTTAAGTCTTAGAATTAACAAAGAAACAAAGATATGCAGCAGCAAGGAGACGGTTGGAGGCAGTGGAGATGTCCTGTTTAAGGGCAATGTGTGGTGTAAATATTATGCAGAAAATTCGGAGTGTGGAAATTAGGAGAAGGTGTGGAGTTAATAAAAGTATTAGTCAGAGGGCAGAAGAGGGGTTGTTGAGGTGGTTTGGTCATTTAGAGAGAATGGATCAAAGTAGAATGACATGGAAAGTATATAAATCTATAGGGGAAGGAAGGCGGGGTAGGGGTCGTCCTCGAAAGGGTTGGAGAGAGGGGGTAAAGGAGGTTTTGTGGGCAAGGGGCTTGGACTTCCAGCAAGCGTGCATGAGCGTGTTAGATAGGAGTGAATGGAGACGAATGGTATTGGGACCTGACGATCTGTTGGAGTGTGAGCAGGGTAATATTTAGTGAAGGGATTCAGGGAAACCGGTTATTTTCATATAGTCAGACTTGAGTCCTGGAAATGGGAAGTACAATGCCTGCACTTTAAAGGAGGGGTTTGGGATATTGGCAGTTTGGAGGGATATGTTGTGTGTTTTTATATGTGTACGCTTCTGGACTGTTGTATTCTATGCACCTCTGCAAAAACAGTGATAATGTGGAGTGTGGTGAAAGTGTTGAATGATGATGAAAGTATTTTCTTTTTGGGGATTTTCTTTCTTTTTTTTGGGGGTCACCCTGCCTCGGTGGGAAACGGCCGACTTGTTAAAAAAAAAAAAAAAAAAAAAGATATCAAACAAGAGATAACCTGTAGTTGTAATGAAGTGTTACTTTGTACACAGAAAAAGAGGTAAACATGAGTTCGTGTGAATGACTTACTGAGTGACTTGACTGACTCACTGAGTGACTTGACTAGCTTACTGAATGACCTGACTGACTTACTGAATGACTTATTGAGTGACTTGACTGACTGAATGACTTACTGAGTGACTTGACTGACTGAATGACTTGACTGACTTAGTGAATGACTTGACTGTAATAAAAATATTATATTTTTTTTTTTTTTCAACAAGTCGGTCGTCTCCCACCGAGGCAGGGTGACCCAAAAAAGAAAGAAAATCCCCAAAAAGAAAATACTTTCATCATCATTCAACACTTTCACCACACTCACACATTATCACTGCTTTTGCAGAGGTGCTCAGAATACAACAGTTTAGAAGCATATACGTATAAAGATACACAACATATCCCTCCAAACTGCCAATATTATGGTAGTAGGTTGGTAGACAGCAACCACCCAGGGAGGTACTACCGTCCTGCCAAGTGAGTGTAAAACGAAAGCCTGTAATTGTTTTACATGATGGTAGGATTGCTGGTGTCTTTTGTCTGTCTCATAAATATGCAAGATTACAGGTACATCTTGCTACTTCTACTTACACTTAGGTCACACTACACATACATGTACACGTTTATTTATACACACTCATCTGAGTTTTCTTTGATTTTATCTTAATAGTTCTTGGTTTTATTACTTTTCCTTTTATATCCATGGGGAAGTGGAATAAGAATCTTACCTCCGTAAGCCATGCGTGTTGTAAAAGTCAACTAAAATGCCGGGAACAATGGGCTAGTAACCCCTTTTCCTGTAAAGATTACTAAAAAGAATAAGAAGTATTATATTATTATTATTATTATTATTATTATTAATTTAGGGAATTGGATCTGTGCTTTAGTTAAATTAATAACAATGACACTAATAATAATAATAATTATTATTATTTTTATTATAATAACAAATACTGCCAACTCAGTGCACTGTTTACCTCTCTGTGGGAGCAGTTCTCTCCTGCTTTGCTTACGTTTTTAAGTCGTTTGGCCAAATTTTGTTTTTCTAAGCATGGGTCCTAAGAAAGTAAGTGTAAAGGACATTGCTGAGAATTAAAGCATGAAATCATAGATAAACAAGCGAGGTGTTCAGGTTTTGAGTTGAGGGGGAAGAAGGGAAGAGCTGGCTGGTAACTCAAATGTTGGCTCATAACTCAGAGCAAAAAATCAACCCAGGGATGGCTCGCATCTCAAAAAACTCATACATTGGGACACTCGTAAGTCAAGGTTCCACTGTATTTTGTTTTCAATGTTAATTGCAATGTGAATGTTGTGTGTGAAGGTGCTGTATGCCCCAGTGAAGAGTGAAGAGGGTTCCAAGGACCCACCAGGGCTGTCTTCTGTGGTGCTCGAGGCTTCCCCAGAGAAGGAAGTTTCTCTCACTGACCCATTCCTTGATCCTCGTGAAGTCTACCTACGAGAACTCTTCATGCCAAACCGCTTTTCTGCGCACACTATTCGCAAAGCATTAGGGGTGAGTAGTTGTTGTTCATCACTTGGATATTTCAATCACAGGAATCCAGCTGTGTTGGTGACATTATTTTATAATTAATTTATGATGTAAATGTTGAAAGTTTCTGGTATTAACAGCATGTACTGCTGTGCCTGCTCTTGGTGCCCATTCCATCAATCTACCACTGTTTCCAACAAATATTTCCTGGTAGTTTTTTAAACAATGTTTGCCTGTACTTAAAAATTATTGTAATTTAAATCTTTCAATATTGGTCTCAAAATATTATGGCTTACAAGCCATTGTCTGTCCCATAATATTGTGCAAAAATTCTGTCGGCTTCCAACTTCGCGGGAAAAAGCTGGTAGCCCTACATATTTTTTGGTATAAAACATCAAATTTGCAATGTATTTTTGTATGGTATTTATGGTTGTATTCTTGTTTTCTTGGTCTCATTTGATAGAATGGAAGATAAATTATGGAAACAGAGATGACTTTGAATGGTTTATGAACTAAAAGTACCTTGAAATTGAGCTCAAAATAAAAATGTTCAATTTTTGCCGATGTTCTAGAGTAAACAAATCACATGCATCCAATACACGTTACCTGGTGGGTCTAATATGCTTTCACAAATGAGCTGATATTATTTATACCATTTTTACAATAATGCAGAAGTCTGCATGACAGTAAATCTTCTTTTCTTTTGTGTGAATAGAAATTCAAAATGGAAAGCAAGTGTAATATAGGAGGGGCCTGGAGACAGGACTAATGAACAGAGAAGATGTTAATTTAGTGCTAGGAATGTGCATATTGTTAATTCTGGACCTTATTTTCAAATTGCTTACTTGAATTGTGTATGAAATGGGCCAAATTACCAATTTCTGATCACTTTATTCAGTTTATTGGGTAGTTGAAATCGGTAAATGGTTGGCTGCTTGTACTCAGTCGATAGAACAAATGGAGTTCTGGTGAAATAGCTGTGAGTTTGGTCGACTGGAACAATGGAATTGGCGGAGATAGGGCTCAAAGTGGGCGAAATCGCCAATGTGTAAATAACACAGAAGCCACTAACTTGCAAGAGCATAATTCTACAAGTTTCCATGAAATTTCATACTTTTGGTGTCATTACCATTGGAAAGATTATCATTTCATAGAAAAAATAATTTTTTTTTTTTTTGAAAATTCTTCAGCACAGAGAAAGTTTGTGAGCAGGGGTCTCGACAGTGAAAGGGTTAATATAACGTTCTCCATGGGGAAGTAGAACAGAATACTTCCTCTGTAAGCCATGTGTGTCATGAGAGATGACTAAAATGCAGGAGCAAGGGCTAGTAACCCCTTTTTGTATAAATTACTAAATTTAAAAGAGAAATGTTCGTTTTTCCTTTTTCGGTCATCCTGCCTCAGTGGGATGCATCTGATTTGTTGAAAAAAAAATTGTAATATGGAAAAAAGCAACATGCAGTAGACTGTTATATTACATGGTAGTTACATTCTTGAAAATGCCATGTTAGGTTAAATTCGTGTTAAATAAACTGAAGAAACTTTGTGAGAAAAATGAGCTTACATTCCTGGGGCCCCTGAAAAGGTCAAACAACTTTTTTTTTAGATTCCAGATCTTACACAAATAATCGTGAATAATGGCAAATTGTTTGTTCATTGTCATGATGTATATGTTTTTAACTTGTTAAGATATACGTTGAAACGAAACAATAGTTCCAGTTGACCATACTCATAGCTATTTCTTTAGTAACATCCATTTTATCTATTAGCTGAGTACAAGAACTCTCCCATTTATACAATTTGGACTACCAGTATGGTGGTCAGAAATTGGCAATTTGGCCAATTTTCACGCAAACTAAAAAAAGATGCCAATTTCAAAATAGGTCCAGAATAAACAAGGTAGACATTCGTGGCACTAAAATAACATATGCTCTGTTCATTAGTCACATCTCTAGGCCCCTCTTATATTATTATTGCTTTCTATTTTGATTTTTTATTCATACAAAAAATACAAAAATTTACTGTTATGCAGACTACTGCTTTATGTAAAAATGGTATAAATATATTATCAGTGCACTAGTGAAAGAATATTAGACTCCCCAGTTGACGTGTATTGGACGTGTGGTGTGATTTATTTACTCCTGAACATTGGTAAAAATCGAACATTTCCGCTACTTTGAGCTCAGTTTCAAGGTCGTTTTCATCGTCAAAGTAATGAAAATCATCTCTATTTCTGTAATATGTTTTCGATTTTATCACCTAAGACCATGAAAACGTAAATACAATGATAAATACTATACGAAAATACACCTCAAAGTCGGCGTTTTATTCCAAAAAAACGATCAGATTTTTTTTCTCATTACGCAATGTGTGCTGCAGGATTTTTTTTATGTGGTGCACACTGACCACACAGACCCATTCTCTCGCATGTGGGCCTACCAGCTTTCTCCCGCTTGATTTAAAGCCGCTAGAATTATTGAGTACAGTATATATACATCAGAAACATTGGCTCGTAAGACGTATTTATACGTCGAAAACAGTCAAAGGGTTAACTGTCCAAACGTAAATCTACATTCGTATTGTTAGCACTCCTAACGTAAATCAATGTTTTATTTTTTCTGCCTCCAAGTTTGGCACGATTGGCCTGAGATGCCTGGTCAGTATAAAATGGGTCTTAACACTCGGTGTGCGCAGTATTAAGAAAATCTGGGACTACTTAGTACCTTGTGGGAGCACCAGTTCAATTGATCACCAGCTAGAACAAACAGCGTGGGAAATACCAGGGATTCACTGATGTCATGTCGTATTAACACTCCCCTTTTAAGAGGACAGTGATGTTGACCCTGAGTTTAGTGACTTTGAGATGGATGTGGCCACAAGTGGGTGAGGAAATATAAAAAACTTCAATAATAACCCATGTGCAACCTTTGTGCAACATCCTTTCAGTTTTGATACCACTGGTAGTGTCATCCTGCCAGAATATCCTATAACCTTTGCCCTAAGTAAAGAGAAACAATTCTGGAATATGTGTAAAATGTGTTTGGCTGGCTGGGTGAGTGGGTGGCTGATTGATTTTGGCTGTCTCTATCTCTGTCTGTATCCATCTCTGTTTGTATCTATCTCCCTCTCTCTGTATCTATCTCTGTCTGCATCTCTCTCTGTCTACTCTGTCTACAGGTACATGTAACTGCAGTTATTATACATTGTGTAAATTACCTAGGATAACCCAAAAAATGCAGGCAAAGTGCTATACTGTGCTTATAGGTATATAGGCATAATAAGCATGACTGGCAAGTAATATGCATTTTCATTTGATCAGGAATCAGACATGATGACTCTGCATCATATGTATACCTCCCTCCCTCCCCCCCCCCTCCCTCCCTCAGACAGAGAGATAAGCACAGAGAGAGATCCACACACAGGTAGACAGACATGTTTGTGTAACAGTGAAAGCAAATAGAGCCAAGGCAGTGCACAATCATCGAATGTCATTCCACTGATGCACTGTCAGCAGTGGAGTAACAGTCGTTTTACACCATGCTTCAAGGAGATTCATATATACTCAGCATGTCTAAAACATTGCTGGGACCTATACATACATTGTATATTTTTTTAGGCAATAGTTTGTAATCAAGGCAGGTGAAAATGTTCATCTGTCAGTGTGCTTGTGACTACAGTGGACTCCGGATATCGGCCAGTGTGGATATTGGCCAAATCGAATTTTGGCTGCTTTTTTGGCCGAAATTCTATCCTGGATTTCAGCCGGCAACTCTGAAATCGGCCTTATTGGACGTGTCTGCCTGCCATGGTTGTTTATTGAGTGTGACTGTGAAATATGCCACCATGGGCCCAAAGAAGGTTACTAGTGCCAGCCCTTTGGTAAAGAAAGTGAGAAACACAATAGAATTCAAGAAAGAAATTGTAGCAGAGTACAAAAGTAGTGTGTGTGTGCTCGAGTTTGCCCTGACCATGTCGATCCTCTGCCTGTTGTGGAATCTATTGTGTCTTTGGGGAAGTCCATGGGGTTGGAGGTGAGTGGCGAGGATGGGGAAGAGTTAGTGGAGGACCACGGGGAAGAGTAACCACTGAAGAGCTGTAAGACCTTCATCTGCAACAGCAACAGACCACAGCTGAGGAAATTGGTTCAGAGGAAGAGGAAGAGAGAGAGGGACAAAGGTGCCTTCTTCACTGATTAAGAACGTTTGTGCAAAGTGGAGGGAGGTGCAAAGTTTTGTGGAGAAATATCACCTTGACCAAGCTGAAACAAGCCATATCTGCAACATGTTCAGTGACAAAACCTTGTCACACTTCAGGCATATCTTAGAGATGCCAGAAACAGACCTCTCTGGACAGTTTCTTTTGTGCGACAGGGGTGCAGTGACTCTCAAGCTGGTCCTTGTGCCAGTAAAAGACGAAGAAGGTAAGTATCCCCGGATAGGAACTTGATACCTGAAGTCCTTATGGAGGGTGGTTTCCCTTCCAAACAATCAGTCCTCCTGCTCTCCTCCTCCCTGTCTTCCATACAACAACAAGAATCTTCAGTAAAGGTAAATATGGTGTTAAATGTTTCATTTATCCATTTCATTAGTCAGTATTTAGATAAGGCTAAAGAGGTCTTTGTGGCATTTATGGATTTGGAAAAGGCGTATGACAGGGTGGATAGGGGGGCAATGTGGCAGATGTTGCAAGTGTATGGTGTAGGAGGTAGGTTACTGAAAGCAGTGAAGAGTTTTTACGAGGATAGTGAGGCTCAAGTTAGAGTATGTAGGAAAGAGGGAAATTATTTCCCAGTAAAAGTAGGCTTTAGACAAGGATGTGTGATGTCACCGTGGTTGTTTAATATATTTATAGATGGGGTTGTAAGAGAAGTAAATGCGAGGGTCTTGACAAGAGGCGTGGAGTTAAAAGATAAAGAATCACACACAAAGTGGGAGTTGTCACAGCTGCTCTTTGCTGATGACACTGCTCTTGGGAGATTTTTGAAGAGAAGTTGCAGAGATTGGTGGATGAATTTGGTAGGGTGT